CTTTTGCGCCCAAAATTTAAATCCTGGGTAAAGCCCCCCCCCCCCCCCGCCCCCCTCCGATATTTATTGAGCGGAGGGGGTCTGTACACAGGCTAAAGATTGATTTCAGCATTTCTGAAAAATTCCATAAGAATATTTCCCGAGAATTCTTAGGGTAATCAACGTAAAGTAATCGGCTCAGAGATAATTCTCGTGAAATCCTAGCCTAAGACTGTGTGGAGAAATTTCGCCGAGGTAAATCTTACTTTTTCAGAGTAATTTTCGACGGTTTTGTATTCATTTTATTTCATGAATTTAAATGGTATTTCCATCCTGTTTTTGTACTGTTTTTATAATCTTTCGACCGATTTTTGTACTGTTTTCAGACAACTCTGAGGCTATTTTCTTACAATTTTATACTGTTTTTGCATCCTATTTTTGATGTATTTTCATAATATTTGCGTGCTATTGCTTTTCTTCTTCTGTGGTATTTTAATACTATTTTCAAAGTATGTTTATTGTATTTGCAAATACGAGTATTTTACTAAATTTCGAAACCGATTAAGCAGCTATTAAAATGTATTTTAAAGCATAACATTTTAAAAGCGTTTTAAACAAGTTAGAACACCTTTAAAATCAGTCGAAAAATATATTAAAAATATATGTTTGTACCTATTTTAAAGCTGTTTTTTTTTTTTTCAAAATACGTTTAAAATTGCCATTAAAAATAACTTTAGAATAGTATAGCAAATTAAAATATGTTTTTGAAACTGTTTTTATCCTGTTTTTATTCCGATTTATGAGGTATTTAAAAACTGTTTTAGACCTGTTTTGAGCCTTGCAAAAGCCCTGGAATTTTTTATATATTTTAAACAAATTCATTAACATGTGAAAAGGATAGGTCTTTCCAAACAAATCTAGACGATTAGTTAGAGAATTGTCCAATTGGGAGAGTTGTTCTATTGGGACCAACCATTTCAACGAAAACTGTTTTTAGTTGATTAGGTTGAAGTTCCCAATAGGAAACTTTTCCAACCGATTTTGGTTGAAATGCGGTTGTGACTGGGTATAGTAATTTCCTGACTTCCTCGACTTGTGTCGCAAAGGTTGTCAACATTTATTAGCGAAAGGCAAAATGGTTGCTGCGGCTTTTCTTTAACAAGTGACCTAAAACAACGCCTCAGTGTGATGAACGATCAGATGATGAATTAGAATATGTAGCATAACTTTTGATGGAAACGAAGGGGAAACCTGAACCTCGCATTACAGTCTGTAATGGCGACTTAAGGTCCCTTCGCCTCAGTCCTTGAGTAATTTTGCTGGAAGGCTCGCCTTTGTAAATTAGTGAGTCAGTTGGACTCTTTTCAGTGGGTTGGTAGGGTTGTCCTTTTAGTTATATCCACTAAAGGTTTATTTTGACTTTTTGGCTTTTTCGCCTTTAGAATTGTTTTCAAATAAAGTATTCACTCCAGCAGATATTTACGTGCGTTAATCAGATGACCATTCCCAGGCCCAGCTTCGAAGTTCGTTTAAACAAGTTGGTATTATTATAAAAAAGTGAACAGGTAGCCATCAAATGACTTGTAAAAGGACGTGAGTGCCAGCCCTTCATCAGCACGCATCATACCCTTCGATTTCTTTTTGTTGAAGGACTGGCGTTTGAGGCATGATCTGTCGTATTTCTTCATTTGATGGTGACAAATTCACCTTCCAACCATTTATTGCTGCTTTTTTTTGTTTGCTTATAATGCTCTTTTTTCGCCTTCAAACCAAGGCAGGACCGCAGTTATTTTTCTAAAAATTAACCGGTTTATCCATTTTACTCAACAGGTCCACCAATGGTACCTAAACTAAGTGCCTTTTCTCTTGATAAGGGACCAAACGGCACCGTAAATTTGAGTTGCAAGGCCAACCAGCTAGACGCTCAAATGGCTTCTTACAAGTGGAAATGGATGTTCAAAAACGGAAAAGAAATAAAAAATGTATCTGGGAAGTATAAAATACTCAGCGCGCTCTCACCCCCCAATTCCTGTCAACAAAAGAAAGGAACCGTTCATCTTCATGTTGAAAATTTAACCAAGGAAGATCTTGGAACATATAAGTGTGCACTTCTTGAGTCTGACATGGAAATTGCCGTAAAGGACGTTCATTTATATGAATATGGTATGTTTCGTGCTCTAGACTGTACCTTGTAAGATTTGATAAGAATTCTAATACTATACCTTGCAGATAACTGGACTTACAAAATTATTCCCTATCTTTAATTTTTGCCGAGGAGGCAGGGAGCTTTAATAAAGAAGGTAGCCCCATCAAGTTAAAAAAAGATTTTGGTTCAAGAAAGTCCCAAAAAGCCCGGACTGGATTCAATCCAGAACAAAAAAATGTGACAAGTGTAGCTATTGTTTTATAATCTAAAAGCAAAAGCCAAACTTGGTCTATTAAACTATATAATGTGAGAGCTTATTGAATTGACTCTGTGTAGGTGCAAAAGATGTACTTGCAAGACCTGTTGCAAAACACGATGGAAAACCACGGCTACACCGCGAAACAATTCATCCGTTTCCCTTTTCTTTAGCTTCAATTTCCAACTCATTACAACAAGACTCATCTGATCCATTCTCCTTACGGCCTTAACAAACTGTTTGCTGCTGTTAATGCGGTCGTTTTCTTAAAACTGTTTGAATTCACTTAAGCAGATTTTGAGCTCTTTTAATATGGTTTATTTTCAGTAAGCTCGAACGTTCCACCAAGTCCTGAAATTGTAAAAAATGTCACCTTGGATTGCGGCCGTAGGTTAGAAGTGAAGTGGAA